TTACTAGCAACCTAGATTCCCCCTGATTTGACGGCGGGTGTGTTGATGGCATCGATGGGAGGGCAGGCTCGGCACTTGATCGGATTTTGTTTTTTTCTCGATGGAAACAGGCTACCAAATTGGGACACCTCTGCCGACACCTCTGCCGGGCCACCGCCAAAAACCGCCAGCAGAAGGGGCAGCTTGCGGCCATAAACATCCTGCATCGGCCTTGGGGAGGAAGATGGGCCGAAGATCAAGAGGCATTCAACCCTTGCGATTCTCGGTTCGCACTGCATCCAAATGATGCGCTCCTCTTGGTGGGAAATGGTTCAAACGGGGTCTCTACCGGCAAACTGTTGGTTGGTCAAAATAGACTCTCACCAAGGGAATCCGGCATGCCAAAATCAATGATCAGTGGTGCAAGAGAGCATTTCTCGTATATGGCTCCTGCACTCTAGAAGGCTGGGGGCAGCCCCCAGCAAGCCGCACGCACATAGACAATCGCAAGTGATGGCGGATGCCAGCGCGCCAATAACCGCCAATGCGGGCAAGTCACACCAGAGTGACGCACCCAAGCCCACATCCAACCCAGAGAAGCGAGCAGCCTGGGATGCACATTGGCCACCGTTCGCAGGGTGTGCCATGAAAATGTAGGTGGCTTGACGCTTGGTGTGGTCACAGTGACCCTCTCCTAAAATCAACTAAGCAGTTCCGCACTTGCAATCTTGATTGTCGACAAAAGATCCACTTCTTCCTATTTGGTGGTTGAAAGACAGCAAGTTGGACGGCGATGTTCTGGCAGACCGAAAAGCAACAAAGGGTCCCTGTTTGATTTGTGCGGGTTGCTCCCACATCTTTCTTTGAAAGATCCCACGAAAAGAGCCTTCATCGTCGTGGAAGCTGATCATTCTGTTGCCAAGCATCTAAATTGAACGGATTCTTTGTCGAAGCCAGGTTGTGCAGCTATAGCCTCTGTGGTGAAAACGACGAAGGTTGTGAAAACTCCTGGACGAAGGAAGACAATTGGGCCATTCTCAAAAAGGCTGGATCCCTCTTTGGTCCAATACTAGGAACAAACCAACATGAAACCAACAGTTTGGGGGGTTCCCTACTCTTGACACACCTCAATGATAATGTCATACAGGGCTTCAGCATGCAGCATGCTTGGCTCTCTGCCTCATGAATCATTGCGCGTATGCCGTCATTTCAGAGCCACCAGCTCGATTTCTTCAAGGGTATTCTTTGCCATCCCTGTCAACCATTCCTACACAGGTCGTCAAACACTGTGCCCACGTGCTCCCCGTGTCAGCAAACTATCCTGTGGCATTCCATGGCGCTCGATGGCGTGCTATGCCACGCTATGCCACGCTATGCCACGCTATGCCACGCTATGGCATGCTATGGCATGCTATGTGTGGCCGGCCTTCAATCCCAGTCCTGAGAACATATAGAAGACGGACAACGTCCCAAGCGAAAGCATTGAGATCGCACGATCCTGTCAGTCAAATTGCATGCGGCGAGGCAAACAGCCAGTCGTTGGGGCTGTTTTCTTTTCTTTTTTTTACAAGTGATTCTAATGTGTCTTTTTGGATGCCTGAGCCTCAGAATACATCCGCGCGCAACCGCAACTTGCCTGTCCTGTAGCAATGGGGTGTTCTCCGTGCTGCTCATGCTCGGCGTCGCCATCCGAAATCGAGTGTATCGCGGCCCCGGTTTCTCAAATTGTCCAGGGGTAGCTGCACCAGCTCCAAGATTCAGCGGCAGCCTTGTTCCGTGCTTGCATCGGTGAAATAGAAGAAACTTTGCACTTAGAGGCAATTTCTTGCAACTCGCTAGCGGAACTGGACAGAGTGATTCAACGGCACTGAAGGGTCAACAGTGCCGGAGCGGTTCGGATGCGTCTCGAGCCACAAAGCAGCTGCTTGATGCAGAGTAAGAGTTTACTCAAGTTGCGAACTGCCCCACAAGCATAGCGTGCCTTCTAATTCTCCCCTCTCACTACTCAGCATGTACCAATTATGTACCCACTACTACACAAAATATGTTTGCTCCTTGAACCTCCCGCAGGCAATTGTCCATGAGGTTGCGACATCAAATGCTCAGATCAAAACGTTTTTAGTGCAGACCACAGGCCAATCCAATTCCAACGTCCTCCTACAAGCAATATATACATGTGAATATATATATATATATACACGTGTGATTATATTCATATCAATGTTCATATCCCCTCAGCCAATGTGGCACAGGCCAAGGCTGAGAATTGTAGAAGTCAAGTAGCCTCCAACTGCTGGAGGAATGTAAACCTCGGGGAATGAAAGGTATGCTTGAGTATCATAAGCAAATGCTGGTTTGTCACTGTGGATGTCACGCTTCCGGGCGTGATGTGCCGGGTGCGTTTGCAGGGATGAAGGCTTACTTGCTTGACCGCTGGCAGGGTGGATGAAGCAATATTGAACTGTGGAACCCGCCAACAGGCACGGCAATTCCCAGTTTGCTTCTGGAACCTTACTCAAGTTTCCGGAATCTGCTGCTCAAGCAAAACTAAGCGCTCCATATGGCTGGTGCCTTGTCCGTTGCTTAGGCCTGCCATGGGCTCAACCCTGGTACTTGGTGAGTCACACCTGACATTTTTAGCGTAAGCTGTCACCCAATCAAATGCTCGACCTAAACACAACCACTGACCTTACTGTAGACGTCCTGAAACAAACTGCCTGCTGAAAACGACGGCCATTTTACTCAATGTGTGTGTGGCTTGATACCAAGGAATAGCCGAAAGTTGCTGACCGGTCCTCACCAGAAACCAGGGCCAGGCCGCCAGAGAGTCCAGAGCTCCTGGAGTCCGGCAAACAACGTACCTGTCCATCTGCATCTTACAATGCCCCTCCAAGCAGCCGGGAACTTGCGCATCAACAAGGGGGGTCCATGACATTACTGTGCTTGGCCAGTTGCCAGATACAACTAAATGGGATGTGTCATAACCGGTGCAAGGCTTTGCCTGCAAAGCAAAGCAAAGCAGTCAAAAGTGCCATATTGCAGGTTGCTGGGCACAGGACAACGTGTTTCTAGTTTTCAAAGTCCCACGATTTCCGCAGATGGCAGATCTCGTCAATCTGAGATCCCAGCACGCTCTTGCCTAGATACACCTTTAAGTGTGTTTGGATTTGTCTTGCCGGGTTGCAAATTCTGACTTTTGTCTCCACGGACCATAGGCTCGGGCAATGCGGGCCGTTTCCAATTGCAGGCATGTCCTGCTCCAACTCGGATTGGCAGGTCGAGCTCTCATTGCGTCACAACTTGCGTCTTTCCGACACCATAGCACAAGCCTCCAGCCCGGGCTCAAAACAGCAGAACGAGTTTTCCCCCACACAGGAATCGGTCCACATGGAAGCGCTGAAGGTGGTCCATTTTGTTCCGAATCAAGGAGGCGCCGTCTCGGCTCTTCCAAGCCCTCGTGTTGTAATTCTCCCAGACAACAGGAATCTTATCACGGCCCATTGCAGGCCCCAAGCAGTTTGACCATCGACTCTGTCCGGCAGTTGTGCAACTCATTTCTTTCGAGCCCCATTGATCTCTAAGAGGGATGTGTCTGTCTCGAATATGCCATGGTCAAAAAACTGCACGGTTTGCTCTAGTACAAACGGCTTCCTCCTGAAGCAAACGCCTGTACTCTCGAAGGCAAGTGTCCGGATGTGTACTGTAAATCCAAGAATTCGTGTGCACACGCTCTTAGTGGTGCAAACGAACCTCAAGGCTGCAGCGTCCTGGAAGTTCGCACCCAACCACAGCGCCCTGATGGGTCCTGAAACAAATCTGCCAGGCCGACATCCGAGTTGTTGTCCAACCCTCAGGGTTAACATTGGGAAGGTAGCCCCCCCTTACACTCTTGGCATGCGCTTAACTCACATACAAGCTTCTTTGTTCAGGTGGGTCCGGAATGGAATGACACGAGAATATTTTATGTGTTTAATGCATCACATTCGATATCTGACGATAGATGGACAGCATGCTGTATCGCGTGTATGGATGACAACTCATTCGCCCGTCAAGTCAAACCTGTGATGAGACGCACATGCCGAATGTACTCAACTTTGCTAATGCAGCACAAGATGTGATTCGCCCAGTGCCCCATTATCCTATGTGCCCTGCATGAAGTAGAAAGTTGAAAAAGCTGGTTTTCCAAGCAAAATACCTCTTTGCGTCTGATAAGCCCAACGTCACACGCAAGAAATGTGGGGCATCCACTTCTCCAACGACCCCGCCAAAGCGGTCCTCGTCCTTGCTATGTTGGGTATTTAGAGGCATGTGTCTCCCTTCTGGAACATGACTGTTCCCTTTTCTTAGCTGTTCCTACAAGGAACATAATATGCTTTCCCCCCGGCACCCCTCTGCACTGCTCACCAGGGCTAACTCTCATCTCAGTACCAAAGATGAAAGGGGTTCCTTGAAAAACATCTCTCATAATATCACTTGCCACAGGCTTGTCACCGGAACGCGGTAAATTGCGTCCTAGCTTTACCCTGCAAAATGCCGAAACCTTCAACCCTGCCTTCCAGGCGAGCAAGATCTGCAGCACCAGGAAAGACTCGCGGAGTGCTAAGATTGCAATTTGGGTGATCCAAGCTTGCCATTCCTAGCCGACAAAAGCTGTAGCATCCAGTATGGTGCCACCAAGGAGCAAACATGTTGGAAACTGATTTCAAAGCCGACAAATCCGAACAATTGAAAAATACATTTCAGAACTTGGTGTCACCACGATGCAGAACGCACACACACACACACCTTTCCTATCGTGATCTAACGACAACCTGCCAGAACAACCTAGGGGTGCAGGAACTTGGACCGCCGACGGGGCAATAAGCAAGGCAGACCCATGAGGCGTTCTTCCAGTGGCTCCAACCAAGGATGCATGATGCCTGGTTCTGATTGGCCCAAGCCTGTCATGCCAAAGAGCAGCTTAAGCAGCTTTGAGCTGATTCACCCTGTGACCGCTAGTCACGAGCTCACGCCTGCCCTCCTCAGGCGCTGGCCTCCGCCTGCTGGACGGCGAGCATCGTCCAGGGCAAAGCAAAGTCACCGCCCCCTGCCCAGAGCCGAGGAACGGACGATTCCCTTTTGGTTGCCATTGCGCCCAAAGTAAGTAAAAGGTAGGTTCATCTTCATCCTTCTTGGGTGCCGGCAAACAGCTTCAATGATTCGAATGTTTGGCCCCAAAATCCCTGCCATGACTCGTTCCTCTCACGCCAAGCCTGGAGAGAAGAGCCATTTGGTGTAGATGTTCATGGCCTTGGTGATCGGAACATAGCCCAACAGGGAAATCAAAGTGCCTTATCCATGCTTGCAGATTGCACAAACCTTCTAAGAAGAAAAACCTCTTCAAAACACAACCAAGTATAAAAAGGGTGGACTCCCTTTGAATACTAAATGTCTTCATAGCTGCCGACCTTGGGCGTGACACAAAGGTATAATCTTGCCTCTGAGTCATTCATGGATCCAGCATGCGGAGTACTTGGCAAAGTGAGTTGACTTCAACATGTCACCGCGTGTTTGAAGGGAAACCAACTTGTGACAGCAAACGAACCCAGTGAGGCCGAGGTGTTCAGGTTTTTCTGCAGCGACCTGGCGGTCCGACCCCAGGTGGCCTTCAAGGAGGCAGCTCGGCTCGGCGACTTGGCGACTTGGCACAAGCCCCGGGCACAGTTCAGCACCACGAAGAGCAGGGAGCTGGCTGCCCCCGCAAGCTGCGCTTCCCAGGACATGCCCTCGCGCAACGCGCGTCGGTTGTGCCAGATTTCAAGGTCGAAACAGGGATGAGCAGTCGTGCTTTGGAGTACTGCCTCTTTGGTTCAAGACACGATGCTGAGACATGGCCAAAAAGCGGAACACATGGCACAACCAAGAAATCTGTTCGAAACATTTCATAAAGTACCATCCAGATCTAGTGTCTATGTCACCAACCCCAAATAACCTTGATCCCTCAGTTGTGCACACGAAACCCACTCCGCCTGCACAGGCCAGTGCCATGTGAGCTCTGGGCCGGCGCACTCTGCCAACTAAAGCGCTGAGGCCAAGAAAGTCGACGGCGTTGATGGAACGAGGGGGTAGGGAGAGGTAGGGAGAGGTAGGGAAAGGTGGGGAGAGGTGGGGACAGGTCGGATGCCATTGAACCTGGCTCAACCTCCGGAAGGCAAGCTGTTGGGGTCAAAGGACGCAGTACAGTTGGAGTCATTCGCCGCCGCCCTAGGATACTTACATGCTTGACACTTTGATGGGCTTGATGCTACAACAGCTTTGGGCCCGCCCTTCTCCAGATGGTTCTACGAAGATGGTGTGCAAGTTTCACCGAACCAAGATTCTGGATACCGCTCACTGTCAACATGTCATCCGTGTTCACCTGACATTAATTCGGTGTGCGTCTGGCCACCGTTCAATGCCCCATCCTGGCACCTGCAGCTTGTCACTTGCCGGCGCTTCGACACGGATCAGGCCTCTAGGCCTTGTCCTTGACTCCTCACTCACGCAGCAAAGCTTTTTGCCTTTGGGTGGAAGTCTCTGCTCGATGGCCGGTCTGTATTCGTCTGAAAAACAGCGCGTCTTCTCGTCGTGCAGTGTGAAAGCAGCAAAGCCCACCGGCTGGGCCTACTTGGCTTTTGGAAGGCGCACGCCGAGCGCTCTGTTCCTGAGCCGAATGCCAGGCAGGCGTGGCCAACGCCCGCTCCAAAAGCCCCAAAGCCCCAAACACATAGCAGAAGGCCAAGCCGCAGCTTGTTGATGATGGCGCCGTTGGGAATGGCCTGCATTTCCATCTGGTGAAGTCAACTACACGATGCTTTAAACAAACACTTGGTCAAGGCCATGCCGACCTGACAACTTGTCGAAGGGTTGATTCCAATGGTATGTTTTAACACGAAGCAGTCGCGGATGGATTGCTTTTCTGGTTCCATCAAGGCCACCAACGGTGGGTTTCTCAGTCATGTCTCCAAATGGGGGAGCCACAAAGTGGTAACTTGTTCAGGCAAACCCAGTACTCAGCTTTGATAAACAATGTTGGAAGCATACAACGCATAGCTGGTGACAAAAGTAAAGCCAATAGTTGCCTCTTGTTGTCCTTTCTCACACCAGTGTGAAAGAAACCGTTCCTTGGTTTTGAGTGACCACCACACCATCCCTATTGCAATGCCTTTCACACAAAGAAGACGACCAAGAAGACAAAAAAACAAAAAGATGTCCCTGCTGAAATGCCCCAATTTTTGGCTACTGCTCATCTTGAAGTCTGGGCCCCCATCCACACCACTGGCGCCTTGCCGCTCTCATACTCGTTAATCACACTCCCCTGGCTGCTGAGTGCGGCTTGGCTCTTGTCAACTTGGCTAAAACAGACTATATATATATATATATGAATATATGTTGATCCACCCTTATCATCCAAAGATCTTGCTCTTTGTGCCATGTGTCTTACTAGGGCTCCTTATATAAGTGGACATTCCACACATGACACAGGTAAACTGGCTCATTGATCTGGAAGGCGCGGTCAGCAGGGAGCGTGCTTCTGTACATTGCAGCTACACTTTGTCAGCTCCGCCACCCGTGTACCACGCCTTCTCGTTGATGGCGGTGGCGAGTGCGGCCTGTGTCATCTTCTTCGCTAGCCGCGCCTCGCCAGTCTGCTTTACATGAAACAGCGATGTCAAGCATGCAGCTGCATGTCCAAATCCCATCACAAGGATGTCCTGCACATAAACGTACACGGGCTTGGTCCGCTTCGTGTGACAAAGGAAAAAGGACTCGTGCGTTCAGAATCAACAACTCTGTTCTGAAAATTTGGCACTGGTCGTAGTCTCTCGCCTCGCCTGTTGCAAGGCGGTCTTGAATTCGTGCGACACTGTCGCGTGCCGGAAGGTCTCAGAATTCTCCTGGCTTAAGCTTCGACGGTGGGCGCTGGAAAAAGTTCTTCCTCGACCAATGACAAAATTGGGGTCTCCTGTTGTTTCTGGAATTCTACGTTGGTTGGGTGGTGAGCTTGCTTGAACAGCTCCACGTGAACTCGAAAATAGCCTCGCAACCCCCGTGAACACGTACTGCAACCCAAAAATTATCCATGCAATCAGATTAGATTCGGGCTTGCAGGGAGAAAACATATCTCCAGGGACACAGAGCCACAGAGTCACCTGTTGCAGACATCTCTCAAAGCTTGGCGGTTTGAACTGGTGCCTTCTGGTTTAATGTCAAACTCTTGCCTGAATAGCAACACGTAGTTGGGTGGGACGCAAGCCAACTGTTGTGTTTGCCAAACAAGCTCAATGTTTTATCTTGGAAAAACCTGGGTCTTCAAACTGACCTCAACACCTGCATTTGTTTGGCTGGTAACACCCTAAAGTTACAAGTGATACACGCTGAAAGTCTATTGGTCAAGCTGGTTCTAGACGTTCCAGGAAGGCCCGCGCTTTGCCACTTGCTAAGGTGTTTTATGTCCGAGGTGGGCTGAGGCCGCCCTTTTGCCCTTCAAATATTCATGATTTCTGAGCCAAAAAGCGGCAAGTCTTCTGTGAGGTCTCGGTGCCCAGCGCCCGACATGCCAGCTGCACGTCTAGCTTCTTGGCATTGCTCGCCCCTCCATGTGCTGACCTCGGAGAAAGCCACGCCCTGGCCAATGAGCCAGTTCCGCAGCTCGCAAAGAAATGATCTAGGAAAGGCGGTTCCTTCAACAGGGCAGTTCCTGCATTGAAGCTATCAAGAACTTGGAACATGCTGTCCTGCAGGCTGTGCCATCACCATGTGGTGCCCGGCTGGCTTGGCGCCTTCAACCAGGGTCCTATTGACAAACAGCCCGTCACAGGACGGGAATCGATCGACCAAGGACCACACCCTCCGCCACGGCGGATTCCCTAAGACAAGCGTAAGAACCTCAGGCCCTATCTATAACAACTTCACAGCAACTACAAAGTGTGGCGGACTTCCAGGCAAGAATCCGAAACTACTTACAGCGGTCTGCTCCTTGCCGGGCTTCAACCCAGGACACAAAGTCTGCCTTAGCGCACGGCGTGTTGGTGCCGGCGTTGAACCTGGTCAGCACACATCAGAGTGCCCCTTGCTGTTGCCCAGAGATATTCCGCCATGCGGGGTGCCCTGGGGGTGGCAAGGACAGCATTCTATATCAGCCACAATCATTGATGTGCAAGGAGTTGTTGGAAAACGTTCCATTTGGCAGCTCACTGCATCCTACTGAGCCGGTGGCTTCTTGTCTGTCTCGACATACCCGCCCGTTCGCCGAGCAGCGTTCACCTGACATGAACTTTCCTCCACGAGTACCGCCAGCTGAAGAGATCCCCACTTTGTGGATCAAATTCGACTTTCTGGAGACTTTAGAACCCAACTTCGGATCGCCCAAGCCAGGGTAGGACTTGGAGCTGTCAGGGCCATAGGCCTTTCTGATCCCGCGAGCAACTTTGGCAACACTAAGTGGGAAGCGGCTCAGCTTTGGTGACGTTGGGGAAGTCCACATTGTTTAACATGTATTCAATGACATGGGCTTCCTAGCTCTGTGCTCTCATAGCGAACCTCCGCCTCGCTCTTAGTGCTCTTTCCTTTGGGGCCGCTCTTCTGCCACACCTTAGAGCGTCGCTTGTGGCATCGCGTCAACTGTGCTTCACTTCGCATGCTTCACATCGCATCGCTTAGGAGCCCTTTCATCTGTGAGGCCTGTGAGGCCTTTGAATTGTGCATTGTGTGAAACTTGAGAATTTCCGACATTCGTGGCGATGTTTGAACAGGAAACCACATGAAGCCGGCCATTTAACACTTGTGTTTGCCGATGGTTTCTTGTGGACCGTCCGTTTGCATGTCCACTACGTCCACAACGCCCTCCCCCTTGTTTGGCGTGACGTTTGGGCAACCACAGCAGGGGCCGGCGCTACGGGATCCCAATCCTGGCAGAGGCGCAGCAGTCCATCAGCCCTTCAAAGGCGCTCCAAAGCCATCGACGTTTTTAGAATTCCACCAAAAACATCCTCATATCATACCTCAATTTCCTATCCAACCAGGGAGCTGAAATCTAATCCTTCTTAAACCAATTAATTCGGGTTTGGCGCTGCCCATCTGGGAAGGCAATAAAAGGAGCCTGACCTTTCCAGATTGATAAAGTTGAAAGCAACCACCTATGGGAGGGAGGAGCTGTGAGTGCTGACTCTCCACACATGGGGCCTGGCCAATCTGGCTCTGGTGGGATCTGAGGGTTACAAGTTCTCAAAGTCCTCAGCAAAGAGGTCGACCCCAACCAACCTGGTTGCCTTTTGATGCGCCTAGACCTATTAGAGGATAGAGGATAACCCCCCAATCCCCCCAGGACACGTCAATTGCGTAGGGTTTGGGTCAAAATGCAAAATCAAACTAGAAGCAGAAGCAAAGGAGCGAGAAATCATAGAAACATTAAAACCAACTTTGAACAGCGAAAGCGTTGAAAACTACTGTGTTTGTTCAGAAGTCTTGGCCTCCTTCAGGCTGAATTCTTGTTTTGGACGAACGGGATATGAAACTGCAATGAAGGGAAATGAATCGGAAATGAAGGGTCAATGCAGGGACATGTGCGGAAACGCAGAGCAGTGCAGGGGAGCACTGAAGAGGCACTGACGCGGAGATTTGGGGGAACTGAAGGGAAATGAAGGGGAAATGCAAGATATGCAGGGGAAACGATGGTGAAGTGCAAGGGAAACGATGGTAAAGTGCAGGGAAATGCAAGGATATGCAGCGCACAAGAAGCGGA